ACTGCTCAAATGCTCATAAAAGCACAAACTATTAGTATTACCCACTAATCTAAAATAATCATGACATCAAGCATTTATGTGTACCAACAGTTTTATCTATGTTTAAAACACAAAGTCCTTTGCCCTGCATTATTCCTCGTCACTGAGGAAACTGTTGTTTCTACTTGAGAAGCAATGACACTGAGTTACTACTGAGTGAAAAAAATAATAGCACGCCCTTCCAAGCACGCTATAAAATTGTAGGGGAGGTTGGTTTTGTTTGTTGCCTTTTGCTTGGGTCCAGCTCCATAGATATCTGTTAACCAATTAGCTAGCTGTGTTAGCTAGCTTTCTGTCACTATATGAAACACTTGTGATAACTTATGAAAGAGAAAGATTGATTTAGGCTCACAGTTTTGGAGGTTTCAGTCCATGCTCGGTTGGTCCTGCTGCCTTGGGTTGGTGGTGAGGCAAACACCACAACATTATGCAGGCAGCACACGGCAGTGCAAAGTCACTCACTTCATGGCCAATAAGCAAGAGAGCAAGAACCCCACAACCACCCACCTCGCTTCCCTTTAAGGTATTGGAGATCAAACCCAGGAGCATTCTACCTCTGAGCTACAGCCCAGACCTTTTTACACTTTTTTCTCAGTGTTTTATTTATTTTTATTTCTATTTCGTTTATCTCCTTGCTGCACTTCCCTCTCCCTTCAGGGTTTATTGTTTTATTTTTTAATATATTTTTATTAGTGCATTACAGTTATACATATAATGGGGTTGGGGATATGGCTCAGTTGGTAGAGTGCTTGCCTCAAATGCACAAGGTCCTGGGTTCAATCCCCAGTACCAAAAAAAGGAAAAAAAAAAAAAGAAACATATAATGGGGTTATGTTTTATTTTGAGACATGGTCTCGCTAAGCTTCCCAGATGAGCCTCAAACTCTTGATCTTCCTGCTTTAGCACCTCAAGTTGCTAGAATTACGGATGTGTACCACCATGCCCAGCCCCATAGTCCACTTTGAGAGCACACTCCCAAATGACCAAAGAACTTTCTACTAGGCCATATCTCTCAAAGATTCTGCCACCTTCCAACAGCACCACCCCTGAGGACCAATCCTTTAACACACAGGCCTTTGGGAGACGTTCAAGATCCAAATTGTAGTACTAACTCTCATTGAAAAAACTAACAGTGATATGGCATATTTAGTTTTTATAGTCAAGATCTCAGAAACACAATGGTGTGCTATATGGTGACTATCCAAACTCCAGAGCAAGGCAACCTTATTGGGCGAGTGCTCCAGTAATCTATTGCTATGTACAAATAACCCTAAATTTAGCTGCATAAAACCACCATCATTTCACTGCTCTCATGGATTCTGTGGGTCAAGTCTTCAGAAATGGCACAGTGGAGACAGCTATTCTCTGTTCCATAATATCTTGGTTTGGGATCACCTGAGGAAGTAGGGGCTAGAACACTGGGGCTGGAGAATCTACTTCCAATTGGACTTCTTCATTTATATGGCACAAGGCTTAGAAAGTTAAAGACTGGGCTCCACCAAATTTGTCAGCCAGAATGCATGAGAGCCTTCTGGCATGTTAATGGACTTCTTATATGGGGGCTCAAGTTTCTAAATGTGAGTGTTTCCAATGAACAGGCAGAAGTATGACCTTTCATCACCTAGCCTGGGAAGTCACAATCCTCTCTGAGACTGAAAAATGTATATTCAATATAGATAGAAAATAATAAGATTGGGTAGTAATAAATATTATTGAGAATCTGCTCTGTTCCATGAACTAGCTAAGCAATTGCCATTTATATCTTATTTCACACTCATTAGGTATTTCTTGGGTCACTACTGCTGTACGTGATTGATCAAAGTAATCATAACCCTCTCCATCACCAGATTCAAGTATTTTGGATAGTCACCATATTACACACCATCGTGTTTTTAAGATCTTGACTGTGAAAACTACCTGGTCCCAACAAAATGTGCCATATCACTGTTAGATTTTTCAATAAAAGATAAACATGAGAATTAGACCCACCTCTCTGGGAAGAGTCAACATATTTACAGTCATATTTTAAAATATCTGCAGTGAGTCTTCAGTTTCCTATTGTCAGGTACACCAACATTTTGAACTTTTACTTTTATTGATAATCATGTGCGCTTATAGAATATCAACAACAAATTGGCTACAACTGTATTTCTAGATAATCACTTCTGAATGATAATGGGCCACAGTCCCAGGGCAGCAGAAATCCTACATGGATGTTAGGTAAATATTAATTTAGAATAATGACAAAGGAAACAACTGGTAGAAAATCCATTGCTATCTTTGGCCCTTTAATTGTACTAAGATTATTCAGATTTTTCTCTATCTCCATTAAAGTTACATAGCAATTAGATGCCTTTGTTGTAAGATGGGTCTCATCCCAAAGGATTATTGAACATAAAGTAAAACACAAATGGAAACTGCTTAGTTCAGTGCCTAGAACAGAGCAGATTCTCAACATATTAAAGCATTTGAGGAGCTAGGACACTTATTAAAAATATTTAACTTCTAGAGCTAACCATTCTGCTAAAGGTAGCAAACTCAAGCTCCTACCTGCTAAGTGGGAAAAGGAATAAAGGCAGGCTGGAGTAAGACAATGGAAATACTGGGGATTAGAGTTAACTGGAGAGCTATGACTCTGCCTTAAGATATTTGAAGTCAGGTTTTTAAAAACACTGCATTTTCCAAAATTGGCCCTATTGCTTATGATTTTTTAATTTGCATTAGGTGGTGAGTATTTCCTTGATTTATGGTGTTTTTCCTTGGTTCTACTGGTCTACTGTGCACTCTTCTGAGTCTGGAAATAAACACTCAATATATAATTCTGTAACTAATAATAAACTTTTGTACATAGGGTGTGTGTGTGTGGTGGGGGGCAGTTCTGGGAATTAAACCCAGGGCCCTTTACCACTGAACTATATCTCCATGCCTTTTCTTTTTTTATTCTGAGACAAGGTCTCACTACGTTGCTTAGAGCCTTGCTAAGTTGCTGAGGCTGGCCTGGAATTTGTGATTATCCTGCCTCAGCCCCCTGAGTCTATGGGATTACAGGCATTCACCAATGCACCTAGCAATAATGAAAATGGAAAAGCTGCTCTGTTCCACTGAGCTAAGTAGTTGTCATTTGTGTCTTATTTCATGCTCAGAAGTCCTCTAGGATGTGCATTACTTGGACCCATTTTACAAATAAGAAAGCTGAGTTTTGAGGAGGTTGAATTAACTGACAAAGGTCACAAAGCCAATAAATGGCAGAGATTAGGTTCACCGATCTCGGTGACTATTCTCTTAACCACTGCATACTATAACATGGTGCTTTGATAAAATGTGGCACCCCGAAGGTGAGAGGTCAACGATAGGGAGACAGGTCTTTGTTAGGACTTCTCTGTAACCCACCCAGCTTCTCTAATTTGGGAATAAAAACAGAAGTTTATCTGAGGTAGTGGACTTCAAGGACAGTGCCTCTTACCTAGGAATCCTGAAAGTCTAAGATTATTTAAAAAAATTGACCCATGACAGTTCCTCTAAATATCCGAAAGGAGACAGTGAGACTATACCACTGGCTACCTGATAGAATACCTCCCACCAGGAGGTACTTCTCCCATGTATCAGAGAAAGTGCAAGATAAAGGAACATGGAAGTAGCGCATTTCTGTGCTCAGCAACCTCTCCTGGCAGACATGATTCTCCCTTTAACAAACCTGTTTTGAAAAAGTCCCTTTAAAAACCCTGCTGCATTTCCTTGAAGAGAAAATTCAAATAGAGTTCTCATACATCAAACATATGACAGAGGCAATTTTTAATCATTTAAATTATTTATCCTTCATTGTTTAATGCTTTATTCCATTCCTTCATGCATAATTTATTATACCATTTATGTTTATTAAAAATTGATCATGGGGACATGCTCCCTCTCCATTCTCTGAGGCTACAGATATTTCTCTGTCAGATCATTTGGGAATAGACAACAAAGTATTCTGCTCATTCTTTTTAATTCATTTTAACTGTTTTTATGTCCCTTTCTTTTCATAAAAGTTCTCTTTTTCACAAAAATAATGAGAGTTTATCTTACTGTAATAGCTGTTTGTCTCCATATGTGTGTGTGTATTTAGTTGTAGATGGACGCAATACCTTTATTTTGTTTATTTATTTATTTCTATGTAGTGCTGAGGATAGAACCCAGTGCCTACACATGTGAGGCAAGCGCTCTGCCACTGAGCCACAACTCCAGCCCCTTGTTTCCTTTTCATATAACAAGAAAGCTTATCTGAAGGTCCCTGGTCTACCCACTGGGGCCTTTAGAAATAAAGCCTTATTTAACATCTCTAACTTTTAGAATGCTGATACACGAGGGAGATATAACAGAACAAGATTCTAGAGTCTTCCATGATAGAGGTCAGAACTTGTGGAACCACATTTTTCTCTTGGCCTTTTCTTATCTGTCCTTTTTTTCCCTCTCAGCTGACTCATTTATCGTGCCTTGATTATGTCTCCAATCATTTCTCAACTTTCTTCTGACTTGTTTTTTATTTCTTTTTCCCACTTTCGATTTTCCCCCAAATCCTCTCACCTCTGGACTCTTCAACCCTGTGACCTGAGCTGCTTTCTGCAACCCACTGACCCCAGAATCTGTGACTCTCCATCACCACTGCCTTGGGACATTCCCGCTTAGTCCTGGTCACTCCTCACTTCTCTAAGTGAGGGAAGGAAGAAGCAGAAAGGAACCAAGTATGTGAGAGAGGCATAGAAGCCAAGTAGAGGTTAAGAAGCATATAAGGAGCTTACCATACATGAGCCTGAAAAAGGTTTGCAGTGGATTGCTAAACTCAAAGACATTCAACTTGGTGTCCACATCAGCTGTCCTTGGCAGGGACCATGGATTACTTGTTCACCATTGCCTAGCACAAGATAAATGCACCCAATTCATATCAGCTGATTGAATAATGACTGTGTGGTTGTCTGTTCCAGTGGTGGCCCCCAGTGAACCATGCCTTCAGGTATTCACATCATGTGTGGTCCCCACCCCTTGAATTTGAGCTGCACTTGTGACTTGATTTAACTACTAGAAGTCTACAGATGTGATATTCCTCTACTTCTATTTTTGTGATCCTTGGCTCTACATGGAAAAGAGAAAAGTCACCTCTGCTTCCCAACAGAGTCCTGCCCCAGCTAACCTACCAACTGAATACAATCACAGGCCAGAACAGCAGAGGAGCTGCCAACGGAGCCCAACCCATAAAACAGAACTGTCAGCAATTAAAATGACTGATGTATTCAGCCACTACATTCTGGTGTGGTTTGTTACACAGCAATATGTAACTATAACACACTAAGCCTATGAATAAAAGGGAATGTGAAATTATTATTCAGAATGAATTTCAAGCAAAGACAAGTCAATGTTTCTAAGAAACATTTATCAGAAATAGATCCAAAAGAATACAGCAATAAAACTGAAAGGGATTAGAGGAACTCATATTACCACTTTCCTTTACAGTACATCACATTTTTCTTGGGTTTTAAGACATTTTCCAATGCAAAGATTTTCCTACTCTTTTTCTTTTTAATAATAGATCTCAGGTCTGACATGAAAGTTAAGGAGTCCAACCCAGGATAGCATGAGAATTTAAAGCACAAATGGAAACCACTTAAAATCCCAGGCCCCTGCCTCAACCCTGGCTCTTAAACTTCCTCTCTCCACCAGCAACAGAGGCTGCAGTGCTCAGGAGGGACAAGGACACTGTGTGGCTCCTAGCTTAGTTGGACTAGGTACTAAATATCCAATTTGCTGTGAAGAATCTATGGTCCCCAAAAGAACATAATGGCCAGCTTTTACACACACAGCTTAATGACTTGTCAGTGGTCCAGTTAAAGTATAATAAACAACTACCCAATGCCTTTCACCCAGGCATTTAATCATTTACATATATCAGAAAATTATATTGATGTGCTATGGAGATAGCCAATGTACACTATTAGAGAGTCTAGGTTATGGCTAGATTATTTGTAAAACTTCCAATCCTAGACATTTACATTAGCATGTTCATCTGCAAAATGAGCACAAAGACTGCTAAATTTATACTGGTTTGGTGCTACTTCTAATTGTTGCTGCTTTTTCAGAAAGAAAAAGGATTGTTATATAAGACTATGGCCTAAGCAAAGTATCCAAGTTTTTTTTTTTTAATTAAAAAAAAAACAGAAAACTAAATGCCAAGCACAATTTCTAATAGCTTGAAATTCAAAATGATCTCCTGTAGGTAAAATTATCATGTATTTTTTAGGATGATCAAGTCTCTCTTAAAACTCTAATTATAAAAATTAATATAATAAAGCTTGTTTAGAGTAAAGAAGTGCATTTAGGAAGGATCTGGTAGCTCTAGTGTTTCCCAGTGTTTGCAAAGCTCCAGACACCAAGTGAGAGAAACAGAACATCTAGCATTAACGCTAATGTTCTGATCACTGGAGAGACTGGGTATAAACGCTGTTCACTGGGGCAGAGGGCAAAAGCAAGCCTGTAAAGCTGGGAAGTATTTTCCATTTATTGTCCCCTCCTAGATAAGGGTGCTATTTGAATAGATGGCACCTGGCTGCCCCTGGGACCCAGCAATGCCTGAGAATGGAAAACAGTATTCATTTTCTTCCCCTTCTTTCAGAGTCACTTCAGATAGAGCCCTGAGGCTACAGGGAGAGGACAGGATACACAGGCAGTGAAAATGAACCAAGCATCCAATTTTCACCTTCTAGGGAAGAGGAAAGGCTGGCATAGAGACATGCTCTTGGTAGCCAATCACCTCAGACACAGGGAAATGAAGAGGCATTGTGCTTTTTAGACAGCAGGGATGGGCACTTTACTCTCCTTATGTGCTGGTCACTTGGCTGAGCCTTCTCATATGATTTTATTTAGAAGTATTTAATATGTGTTTATTAGGTGGGTGGATGAATGGGTCGATGGCCACTCTGGAGCCAGAAGGCTGGCAAGTAATGGCAGATTCCATTTATGGTACAGATGGGAGTGGGATTCGGCAGAAGAAGAGAGAAGGAGGTAAAAGACTGTGCCCATGCAACTGGCACAAGCACCACGAAAGGCAAGCACACCCTCCAAGGCATCCAGAGAAGCTTTGCTTCTGAGAAAGGAAGCTCTCGGCTTACAAAAATCACAAACTGAAAACTACAAGTCCAGTACAATATCTACTGGGTAAGGGTTCCACAGACACAAACCTGAACTGCGGTCCCTCCACTCATTGGCTGTGTGTCCTTGGACAACTTATTCCACTCCTTGAGACAGTTTCCACCTCTGGAAAACAGTGATAATGCCGCTTTACACGGCCACTGTGAGGATCTTTTGAGGTAAATTATGTGAAACCACTCTGAAATTATTTCTTGTTGTTTGGAGAATAAGAAAGTGAGAAATACATTTCTCACTAAGTCAAGAAGTACTTTCAATGAAGGCTCAGTTTATTTCCTGTTTGTATATAAAAAAAAATCCATGAATATCTCAAGGAAAAGCATTATTTAAAGAAGATACTTAGTGCTTGGAACAATTTCACCAACATCTTGAAAAAATGCTGGATGGATGGGGGGAGGTGGATCTGGCTGGCACACTAAAACCTACCTCTGGGGTTTGGCAAATAATGGTAGAAGTATTGCTAAACTGACAGAAAAGAGGTTGAAAATCTCAAGTTCCTGTCTGTGGCTTCCAAGTAAGAATGCAGACCACTGCTTGTTTAGGGAGAGCTGATACAGGGTCAGAGTCTTAGAACTGGATGGGACTTTCAGATTAACCACCTCCCATATACAGATGAGGAAGCTGAGAACTCAGAGTAGGAGGTGATTCACCCCATGTCACATTAGCAGTTGTGGGACTCGATCTTATATCTAGCATTTTCCTCCTGTGCTAGTTTGACTAATGGCAAATTCCTACAATCTGATGATTTCCCATCCATAATGTGTCTGTGTATAGTAAGGTCAACTTTCCGATAGTCCACTGGAATGCAGGCTTCAGAAGTCAGTTCCAGGGGCTGGGGATATGGCTCAAGTGGTAGCGCGCTCGCCTGGCATGCGTGAGGCACTGGGTTTGATTTTCAGCACCACCACATAAAAATAAAATAAAGATATTGTGTCCACCTAAAACTAAAAAATAAATATTAAAAAAAAAAGAATTCAGTTCCACCATGGCCTGAGGGCAGGGTGAACCACATCCTGGTTTGCCCAGGACAGTCGCCATTTACGCTCATTGTCCCAGCATGATCACTAATGAGGCTCTGTTGCCTCTCACAAATATCTGGATATGGATGGTAAATTATAAAGTACTCTTTGTGCTTTTCTGGGAGGAAAGGAGAGATCCAGGGTAGAACTGCTCCCTGACAGCTTGGCAAGGTGTTTTGGAACGAAGAAAGATATGATCATTGTCTTCAAGTACTTACAGAGCAGTCCTGTGCTAATAAACTTAGACCATTCTGTGCCAACAAGGATTAAAACCCAGACCACCATGTGGAAGCCACAGAGGGTAGAATTCTTCTTCAATATAAAAGAGTACAGGAGTAGGCTCTCAATTGTCGCTCTGAAGCCAGACTGCCTGCCTTCAAATCCCAGTTCTGCCATTTACCTGCTCCATGGTTCTAAACTTTATAAAAAGAGATCGAGGTACATAATAAGTGCTCTAGCAATAATAGCTACTAGTTTATTCCGGCAGCTATACAGCATGTATTGGGTATTCCTGGGGCAGAGGTTTTCACATCTGGACCAGAACAGGATTGTTGGGCTCAACCTGGAGAACAGTCAGCATGGGTTTAGCTGACATGGGAAATACCAACCCAATGGTGAACCTATTGGATTTGCCTGGGATATTATGACACTTTGCTCCTACCTGGAGCAGAGTATGTCACCAGGGAGGACTCAGTGTCCCTGATGAGGGTTGCATGCTAGCTGAGCAATCTGGAAAAGGGACCCAGTTCAGAACTGCTGGGGGTGGGACAACAAAGCTACTCTTGCTGTGAAGATAGCAGTAGATAGAGTGTGGGAGTGAAAAGGATCAGAATGCCCTGAATGCTCAGCCGTGCTCTAGATGCAAATTCTGGTTCCTTAACCCCTTTGTGCTTAAGTTTCCTCCACTTTAAAATTAGGATAACGATAGTGGCAATCTTGAGCATTAGGAGGAATGAATGCAGCCAGATGCGATGGCACATGACTATAATCCCAGCTACTTGGGAGGCCAAGGAAGGAGGAACACAATGTAGAGAATAGCCTGGGCAACTTAGCGAGACCCTGTCTCAAAAATTAAAAGAATTGGGGGTATAATTCAATGGTATAGCATCCCTGGTTTTGATCCCCAATACCAATAAATAAATAAATTATATATATATAGAGAGAGGGGGGGGGGGGAGAGAGAGAGAGAGAGAGATGAGTGAAAAAAAAACAAGTAAAGCCCAGCAAAGAGCAAGTGCTGTTATTACAATCATGTCACTAATCTCAGAGCTGGGAAGCACCTGAACAAGAATAGGCATTGAATTGAAGTCAAGATGGGTGAGAAGCCTGTCCAGTCTCTCAGCCTAGTAAGAATGTTCCTCTGGGGGCTAGGGATGTGGGGCAATGGTAGACTGCTTGCTTAGCATGCATGAGGCCCTTGGTTCAATCCCCAGAACCACAAATCTCCCTCTCTTCTCGGTCTTAGGCTGCAGCACAGCTCATAGCAAACTGATTTGCCCATCATTTAAATCCCAACTCCATGACTGGGGCTGCAAAAGGAAACTGAAGGGGCAGCTGGAATGGGAGGGCCAGAGCCTGGCAGTCAGAGGTGAGGGGCTACCTGACTGAGCACACAGGTATGAGTAAGGGTGAGGAGGCAGTCCGAGCTGGGCAGGGTGAGACTGAAGCAAGAGTGCTTTTATTAAAAGTGCCGACACCAATGCACATGACCCCACAGGTTACTCCCGTTGGAGCAGTCTGCAGAGGGCACCTGCCCTTGCTACACTTCTGCCTTGGTCCCTCGCCTCTCTCACCTTTTTCTGGGACTTGTCCAGCTTGTTCTCATCTCATGGCCTTTGCACTTGGCATTCCCTCTGCTGGCACATGCTTTCCCAGATACCACGTGTCAGGCCCCTTGTCACTCATATCTCAACTCTCCAGACACTTCCTCAGATGGCCTTTCCTAGACAGCTGCATCTCCAACTGTATCCCCATGGTTGTCCATCCCATCATCTGGTCAGCTTTTCTCATAATCCTTATCACTCCCTTAATTTACCTAAGTCATAATTTGTTGCTGGTCCACTGTCTATGTTTCTCCCTTGT